AAAAATCAATAAAAGAAAATGAGAAGTCTTGAGCCAATAGCCAATAAGGTTCCAATGATTTTGCCTACTCATGCATGATAGAAAAAACTCTGTGTGTGTGTGTGTGTGCGTGTGTGTGCGTGTGTGTGTGTGTGTGTGTGTGTGTGTATGTACACACACACACTAACCAGCTACTTTATTAGATACAGGTACACCTTACTAGCACTGGGTTATACCCCCTTTTGCTTTCAGAACTGCCTTAATCCTTTGTGGCATAGGTTCAACAAGGTACTAAAAATATTCCTCAGAGATTTTGGGTTATATTGACATGATAGCATCACGCAGTTGCTGCAGATTTGTTGGCTGCACATCCATGATGCAAACATTCCCCCACATTCCAAAGGTGCTCTATTGGATTGAGATCTGGAGACTGTGGAGCTGTTTGAGTACAGTGAATTCATTGTCTTGTTCAAGAAAACCAGAGAATCAGAGATGATTCACGCTTTATGGCATGGCATGTTAAGCTGCTGGAAGTAGCCATCAGAAGTTGGGTAGACTGCGGTCATTAAGGGATGCACATGGTCAGCAACAATACTCAGAGAGTCTGTAGCATTGACACGATGCTCAATTGGTACTAATGGGCCCGAAGTGTGCTAAGTAACCCTTGATACAAGGCAGGATATACATACACACACACACACACACACACACACACACACATATATATATATATATATATATATATATATATATATATATATATATATATATTTTTTTTTTTTTTTTTTTTTTTTTTTTTTTTTAGATTTAGGTGGAACCCAGTTGTAAGACATTTTACCATTAAAGTGTGTGTCTTATCTCTGATAAGTTAAAACTCTGTTCCTGTTGAGGTCATTGGCAATATTTCAGCTCTGAGAGATTGGAGGATGTTTACACCGAGACAGAAAGAGACAGATGAGAGAGAGGGGAGCTTTAAGGCAAGAAGCCAAACAAAGCTAAAAGTGATGATTGCAACCAAAATAAAAACTGACTTTTTTGACACTGCTAGAATATCTTATTGCGTTACATTTCCTTGGAAGTCATGCATCTCCAATTAAATGTTCACACAGCTTACGTATTTAAGCATTAGCAGGCGTGCGGTCTCTGAAAACAGCATGCTGACTTGAAAGCAAGAGACATGCCCCTAAAACCTCTTTTTTTGGAAGAGAGCCTTGAAAAGAAACAAATCACACCTTTCAAGGTTGAAGATTACAAGAGCATGGAAACATGTTCACTTACGGCTTGTTATGAGCTTCAGTATTTTGAAAATGAGAACACCAAGGCCAATATTTCCCTTAATGAAAACAACATGCAAAAATGGGATTCCTGCTGGTGAAATCATGTCCCCAGGTGGGACTGAGGAAATCAACTCAGAGGCTGAACGAAAGGGAATCATTTTTTTGTAACGGAAGAGAAAAAGACAGCATGTCCATTAGAGAGATTTTGTGAAGGATATAGGAATAAGTAAAGGATTGTTGTTTCCAGAGTGATTGCAGCAAGATTATTATAGTTTAGCTTTTTTAACTGGTTTTATTGCAAAATTATGTTTACAATTGCTTTAAATTTCATTCTTTCATTCATTGATTTTCCTTTTGCTTAGTCCCTTTATTAATACGAGGTCGCCACAGCGGAATGAACCGCCAACCTATCTAGCCTACGCAGCGATGCCCTTCCAGCTGCAACCCATTACTGGGTAACATTCATACACACACATACACTACAGACAATTTAGCTTACCCAATTTACATATACCAATTGTCTTTGTGCTTGTGGGAGAAAGCACCCGGAGGAAACCCACGCAAACATGGAGAGAGCAAGCAAACTTCTCACTGAAATGCCAACTGACCCTGCCAAGGCTAGAACCTGTGATCTACTGGCTGTAAGGCGATTGTGCTACCGACTGTGCCACCGTGACGCCGCTTTAAATTTCTGTTTATTTATTTATTTGTTTGTGTCTTTAATGGTTTCTGTAGTTTAGTTTTTGAAATCATTTATATTTAGTTTCAGTTTTAGTAATTCTAGTTTACATAAGTCTCGATCATAGTAAAGTTTAGTGTTTGCACATCTTACAATAGGTGCGTCTCAAATTGCATTCTTATGTACTGTTCTACGCCGCTTTGTAGTATAAATAGTGTAAGTAGTTTGTTCACGATGAAAACTGGAAAAAGTAAGTCCACTTTAATCACCCGGATCATGCACTTATTCAACCGTTAAAACCTTTATTTATTTTGGATTGTGAATGCAGTATTCTCCTGCAAAATTTATTAGCACCTCACAATGGTGAATGCGGCTGTACTCATAGCAGATATTATTTGGTAATTTGTTTCACTAGTTTAGCAACTGTCAAATGTCATAAAGGAAACGATTTGAATTTGCTTAGTAAAAAAAAATACATTAGTGTTCCATTTGGAACAACACTACTTACATATCATATGCTGTTGTACGTGTGTGTGTGTGTGTGTGTGTGTGTGTGTGTGTGTGTGTGTGTGTGTGTGTGTGTGTGTGTGTGTGTGTGTGTGTTCGTGTACATGTGTGTACAGTGCATAAGTACATAGTGCATAAGTGCAAAGTGTATAGTGTGCCATTTGGGATGCAGCTAAAAATTACTTGTTTAAACAAAAACTGAAAAAAAAAACATAAAAATTAAATTTAACTTATAAAAGTAAAATGATTAAGAATTCATGCACGTTTTTTAAATATTAAAGGATTCCTATGGTGAAAAATCCACTTTTAAATCTGTTTGGACAGACTTGTGTGTAGGTATAGTGTATATACTGTCATATTGGGATGATATAAACACACCCAGTCCTTTTTTATTTTTTTTTTTAGAATTTAACAACATAAAAATGGTGGACCAATTGGAGAGGTTTTCAGACAGACTACAACTTGATGTAGGAGTGCGGTTCCCCCACCCACCAATATTGAATGTCAGGCGCACATTAACATGTCTCCGTAGTAACGCATATAATCATATCAACACATGATGTGCGCAAAACAACCTGGAATAAAAGGTCTGTTCAGTTTGCTAGGATCATCAATCATCCTCAAACGTGATCAAGAGTGAGTTTTACAAGTTTAAAATGTTTTAAAACAGTGCATGTGTGTAATGCATTACAGCGATTACCTTCCGATTCACTTCATCAGCACAGCTGCATGTCAGAACAATTATAAAAGAAGATGCTTTAATCACGGTTAGTGGACGTTAAATCAGGTTTATTTTGTAAATTAACATAACAGATATCCACACAGCAGTGAATATTAACCTGTATCCTGTCACATTTGCGGCCAAAAATAATTCAAAGCTAAACGCGCGAGCTGTCTCTCTGTGTGTGTGTGTGTGTCTGAGCTGTGTGTGTGTGTGTGTGTGTGTGTGTGTGTGTGTGTGTGTGTGTGTGTGTGTGTGTGTGTGTGTGTGTGTGTCTGCGACTGCCCTATGTGTGTGTGTGTGTCTGCGCTGTGTGTGTGTGTGTCCTCGCTGTGTGTGTGCGTGAACTTTGTAACGAGGACTAGCCTTAATGGCCCAGTAAAAAAACACCAACCAGGTTTTACCAGCTAAAACACAGACACTTCAGACAGCTATAATAAATAATCTGATGGGTGTTTTGAGCTGAAACTCTACAGACACATTTTGGGGACACAAAAGACTTATATTAAATCTGGAAATAGGGGTAACCTAGGTGCCCTTTAAATATAACATGTGTAGTTAAACACAACTAGTTTACATTTTTTTTTGGTAAAAGATTAGAAAAAGAAAATACTAAAGTCATGTTTTATGTTGAAGATGTTTTTGAACCCAAGTACTTGACTAAAGTGAAATCTACTGCTATTTATCTAAACAGCTGGAGATAAGATTTTCCACCAAAGAATTAGTGCTTTTGAATTCCGAAAATTATTTTCAGAATTTTATTATTTTGATAAAATATTTAACATTTAACTGAACTGTTTAATATTTGACGACATTTACAATATATATTTCTTGTCGGCTTAGTCCGAGGTCCTTTATTAATCCGGGGTCGCCACAGCAGAATGAATCGCCAACTTATCCAGCAAGCTTTTATGCAGCGAATGCCCTTACGGGAGAAACCCAACTCTGGAAACATCCACACACACATTCACACCAAGTGAACGCAGGGAGAATATGCAAACTCCACACAGAAACGCCAACTGAGCCGAGGCTCGACCCAGCGATTTTAGTTTAGTTTAGTATATATATATATATATATATATATATATATATATATATATATATATATATATATATATATATATATATATATATATATATATATATACATACACTTCAATATGTTTTGAACATAATAAGTTTTGTGGCTCAAGAAGAAGCACATGCTTATTCAAAATCTGTGTAGAATAAGCTTTTTTAAAGTATGTTTAACTGTATATTAAATCAAATAAATTGTAACTCATTTTATTATTATTATTATTATTATTATTATTATTATTATTATTATTGTTATTTTTCTTCTTCTTCTTCTTCTTCTTCTTATTAATAATATTATTATTATTATTATTATTATTATTATTATTATTAATATTATTATTATTATTAATATTAGTATTACTATTAGTTTGATGTTCTGTCTCAATCTACTAAAATAAACCTAACATAAACACTTTTGTTTAAAAATACTACTACTACTACTACTACTACTAATAATAATAATAATAATAATAATAATAATAATAATAATAATAATAATAATGACAAAGTTTATATCTGTGTATGTCAGCAAACTTTCCACAAAATTATTTTGGGATCAAAGGTTATTTTTGTCTGTACTTGTGTCTTTGAACATCAAGCATATGGCAGCTTCACACAGAACACAAAAATAATGATGTGCAAATAACAAGTATATACCAAAGTACCAAGTATATGTTTCTTGTGAAAACTTGTATTTGTAAAGTTGCGACACGATTTCTTTGTACCTTGTGTAACCTCTCTATTTGTGTGTATTCCACAGAATGTTCTGGTCCACTGGGCATGGAGGGTGGCATCATCTCCAACCAGCAGATAACAGCCTCATCTACTCACCGAGCTCTCTTCGGCCTCCAGAAGTGGTACCCCTACTTTGCCCGGCTGAATAAGAAGGGCCTGGTGAACGCCTGGACTGCAGCCGAGAATGACAGATGGCCCTGGATTCAGGTAACAGATTGACACCAGCAGATTAAGCCTGGATGAAGATCCATCAACAGCGAATGAACCTGTAGTTTGGCACAAATATTTTCTTTCTGTTGTGCTGTTTATATGAAAATGATGATCATCGGTTGACTTATTTAATTTTGTGTTTCTTTTGATTTTGCATTGACTAATAATAAAAGAAATAATAATATATTTATGGAAATACAAATATAAAACAGCCACAAAAGAATAATCGCAATAATAATAATAATAATAATAATAATAATAATAATAATAATAATAATAATAATACACAGCATTATTTTTTTGAGAGTTTATGATTCAATAGTATAAAATTATCTTAAACTAAAAAATTATAAAGTTATTTCAACCCTATTCTGGCTGTAATTCGGACTAAACCATCTTCTGGGTTAATATTAAAAAAAAAAAAGGTCTAAATTTAACACAATGTTTGGGTTAGTTAATATTTTACTCAATTTGGGTTTAAAAAGCCCAGCATTTCTTAGAGTGTAACAATAATTGGAGTGGCTTCTGTATAATTATAAACGGTATAATTATAATAATGTGTTGATCACCAGAAACATGTTGCTAGTATTTTTCATAATATAACAAATGCAGGTGACATGTTGTTTTCTTTTCCCTTTTTTTATTTTTAAATTTTTTTCTCGTTTGTTTGTTTTGCTTTCCTCCAGCAGGGAAACTGTGAATTTAATGGGGTCTCTCTGTTACACACTCCAGGAATCAAAACAATGTGTTTCTCCTTGGGCTGCAAGTCTGATTTTATTCACAAAAGCCTTGTATGTTCAGAGAACCGCTTCGTGTTAGTCCATTACTGTTAATTGATGTCGACACAAACTTACATCTCTGCGTATCAATCCATATCTCTGAGTTTCCTTCGCTGAATGCTTTAGTATTCATCTGCGGTTTCTACAGCAGAGTACATTTGATTGATAATGCAGACAATCACACTGGATGGAAGTCTCAGTCCATTTACCTCTAGTTTTACGATGAGTAGCCTCGCGTCAGGCTCAGATTTATCCTTTAAATGCTTGCTTGTAAAAGACAGAGAGAATGAATTGGATCCTTCATTGAATTGATATTCCGTGGCTTCTCGGAGCGGCAGTGTAGTGTAAAACTCTGACCTCTTTGAGGAGCCGAGATGAAATTCAGCTCAAGACAGAAATGATAGGGAGAGTCTGACTGCAGAATTATGAGCGTAACAAGTTAACCACTGTTTGTGCACCGCTGGCTGCTCGCAGGTTAAGAGCGAGGATTATAGGTGGAGAAATAGAGAGAGCGAGAAAGGGAGACAAGGAGGCGAGAGAAGGAAGAAAGGGAGAAATCTGAGGCATTTAGGGAGAGAGTCTGACCTTAATGATGCCACTTGGGATGGAGGTTTTGGTGCTGTGGATCAGCTGGGTTACAGCAAAGAGAGCTGTTTTAGAAAGATCAGACTGGCTTGAGGCCCTCTGCTTCCACATGGCCTCGCTTCAGCTCTAATCACTTAAATCAGGGGTGACTATGGTGTATTTGCTTGTCTTTCTCTTGTTAACATGCTTTTTCTTCACTGTCATTTCATGTCAGTTCACCTCAGTTGTTCAGTGTTGAAGCCTTCAGGTGCTGCAGGTGGTGAATAAAATAACGTGTTCGCACTCCAAACTAGTCACATTTTGATGTCTGAACTCCTTGGCATACCTTTTCAACTCACTCGGTACCCCCTAGTGCCTTTTTTCAACCCAATTTATGTCAGAACAGCATATCTCCACGGATTCTCCCCAAAGCAAAATAATTACGATTTAAAATATTAAATATCCTTCTATGCTTCTCTACATTTAAAATTCTTTTTATTTTTTTTTTTTATTTTACCACACTTATAAAAACATAAACACTTGTTTAAGGACATATAGTAGAACACATTTACATGCAGTTTTACGAACAGTGCAGGACTGGATGACAGAAAAGAAGGTCATTTCTGATGATTTCGCTCACCCCAAAAAAGGCTCTGTTTGCTCGATTTGATTAATATCATGTTGTCCAAATACTTTATAAATAATATTTAAAAAATTCTCCATTATTGTTTTTTTTTTATATATACAATACACTAGGTACTAGTGTACTTTTCTTGACAAACAAAACAAAATGAGTATTGTAATAAATCGTTTTTGTTTTTTTTCTCCTTAACCTCTTACTGTTCCTATTGCCTATAAAAAAAACATGTGTCAAGCAATGAGAACCGAACCAAACTGAAAACCGTGTTAAAAAAAAAAAAAAAACGAGGTATGTATTGAACCGTGGGCTAACTGTATTGTTGCATTCCTAATGTACTCATGTGCGATAAGAAAACTAATGGCGGCACACCATCTTTACCAGACTTAGGCAAACTCCGCCTCTGCTTTCACTCTGCTCCGAAGCCCCAGCTGACTGTCTTTGGCCCAAGGTATTTAGCGGGCCGAAAAAGACTGGCCGCTGGCCCAGAGGAAGCCCGGATTTGGCCTGATCAGGGCCCGGAAATGATTGAGGAAAGGCGACTGGCCCTGGCTCTCACTGGCATGCTCGCTGTTGGCACAACATTGGAAACGCAGCTAATGGGTAGCCTATTACTAGCAGTAAGATACATTTGGTGTGAATGCAAACATGTGAGGTAGGGGTTTATGAAGAATCAAAATTCTTTTTCGATTCTGGCCTTTAATATTTATAAAAAAAATTAAAAAAAAAAGATTAATCAAGATAAAACGATTATTGAGTCATTCCCCACCTTTTTCCAGCAGTCTGCATTTGTTTTTCAGCAAAGCTCAGTTTTACGTGGATATCAGTGTAATTATGTTAATTGTTTATGCAATTGTTTTTGCATAAACATGTTAATTATGTTAGCATGGGACAAGCTTCATTGTTTGAAGTTTTTATGATTAATTTGTGTTTTTAAAAGCATGAAAAGGAAAATCTGGTGTTTTATGTATGTGCTTAAATGGTCAAATTCATAAATTGTTAAATAAATATATATAAATCAAAATTATTTTGGTCATATAACCCACTGGTAATCTGTTTAAATAATCGTTATTTTGATTTTGACTAAAATAATTGTGATTATGGTATTTCCATAATCAAGCATCCCTGTTTTGAAGGACATGAGAAATGTATAACAATACAATATACTGTATATTTAGATATAAAGTCCCTGTCATACTGAGCCTATTGCAATAAACCAAGAAGAATTGCCCACAAACATGAAAATGAACAAAAAATGATTGGAAAGTCCTGTCTATACATAAGGTGGCACTGACCATAACAAAAAAATGGATTGGCATCTAACCCATTTGGCACTTGTTCTGATCTTCTCTCTTTTTTTTTTTTTTTTTTCTTACAGTCTAAAAGTTCTGGTTTGTTACTATATGTTGGGTGAAATATAGACAAATCAAAGATTTGCGTTTCTGTGTGGAGTTTGCATGTTCTCCCTGCGTTCGCGTGGGTTTACTCTGGTTGCTCCAGTTTCCCCCACAGTCCTAAGACATGCGGTACAGGTGAATTGGGTTGGCTAAATTGTCCGTAGTGTATGAGTGCATGTGTGGATTTTTCCTAGAGATGGGTTGTTGCTGGAAGTGCATCCGCTGCGTAAAAACTTGCTGGATAAGTTGGCGGTCCGTTCCTCTGTGGCGACCCCGGATTAATAAAGGGAGTAAGCCGACAAGAAAATAAATGAATGAATGAAAGTCTGACGATTTGTTATATAAAATGTCAATTAAAATATGTAGGTATATACAAATAATGAAATACTCTGTGCAATGCTTGGCAAGGTTGATTTATTAATATTTAATTTGAGAGTTCATTAGGACCCAGAAGTTCTCATATGTTGCCTCTAATGCAGCGATTCATCTTCAAGATTAATATTTTGATCCATTCATTTGCACTGAGCTATAAAATTCCCAGCTGCCATAAGCATTTTCTTTGAATAAATGTCAATTCCAGACATAGTTTAGAACTCCTCAAAGAGAATAAGTGCTATTTTAAATTACAGTGTAATGAGGACATAGATTTCAGTTATACTTTCATACAGTTAATCTAATGTAATGTCTATCTGTACTGTTTACTTGACATAACTTGGGTGATGAGTTGGATGTAGTTTCCTATTTGTATGTTTATTTACAATGATTTCTAAATGATTAACTGAAAATAAAGTAAAAGAACAACTATTCACTTATACCCCCAATTGTGTGTGTGTGTGTGTGTGTGTGTGTGTGTGTGTGTGCGTGCGTGCGTGCGTGTGTGTGTGTGTGTGTGTGTGTGTGTGTGTGTGTGTGTGTGTGCCTGCGTGCGTGCGTGCGTGCGTGCGTGCGTGTGTATGTGTGTGTGAGTGCACATGTGCGTGTATGCATGTGTATGCTTCGGTGTGTGTGTGTGTGTGTGTGTGTGTGCGTGTGAGTGTTTATTTTTTAAAGAAAGAGGAAGAAAGAGCTTAAGTTAAACACAGGATTCAGTGCAGGTGGAAGAGGCAGATTTGTCAGTAGCACTTGCATCTCGACTTTCTCAGTTGTGTGAAATTGCTTTGTGACACACTGGGGAAATTTCTTTTAACCCATAGTGGACAAAAGTGTGAGATTTCATAACTGAAGGAGTGGCACTTTTGAACAAGAAGGAAGTGGAATACTGAGCAGCATGCTTTATTCATTTATTTATTTCAGTCCTTGGGAGGATCAGGATTTGGCACGTCTCCCCAATATCCTAAATCTTGTTCCTCTTCTATAACATCCACAGTTTTCATTAGGGAAATATCAGCACTTATCCTTGCTAGATATTATTCAGTATAACCTGTCAGAGTTGATTTTGGCAATTTTTCCCAGTTTATCTTTACAAATATTAAAAGCTGTGCGACTAAATCAAGTATCTCAGAGTTGAAATGTTAGTTCTAAGTATATTAGTCATGTTGCTAATAACTCTCATGTTGACTTGACTCTGTGCTCAATTCTGTTAAGTATTTAGTGTTTTTTTTTAGTACTTTTTTTTAAGGA